GCAGATTCATCCAACCCCAGGCTAATTTTTTTCATTGTGCTACATAAAAGGGCTATAATCAGTTACAGCTATAAACAGAATTACCAAGTCTGATTATTTTTTATCTGGTACTTCATCATCAATAGAAAAACATACTAGACTCAATAGAAGGAAAATGTAAGTGCTATAAGAACAAAATGTGGTTTAAAAAATTAATAATCATGTTTGCCTATTCTACTGTAAAGCCCTGCCTTTCTTACCACTCATTTCTGCCATTGGAGTAGAAAAGCTATCTCCCCCCCTTCCAAAAATTAAAATCAGGCACTTCATCTCAACCTGCATTTTTTTTACCATTTCATATTTTTCTTCCCAGACATGTTGTACCATGACAGAATTTCTCAGATGAAAGCAGAGTTCAAGATAAGTTACTATGCATACATCTAATTAAATATTTTAGAAAAATAGGTCTTTTGATCCAGTAAGAATTCAAAAATTTACTTATTTTTGTCTACTAAAAGTAAAATCGGGGTCATTAAGATGGCTGAACAAAGAATAACTAAGCTGGTTCAGACATCGACTCAGCTTGTGTTACAGCAGAATGAGATAAAGGCAAGAACACTAGCCAGTTTTTAAGAGTCTTGGTTTCTATACCTACAAGACAATTACTCTTTTGCCTGCCTATCTCAAATGGTTGTTGTGAGATCCAAATATGAAAACGAATGGGAGTGGGATCTATCAATTTTAAAATGCTGCCCACATATAAGCCAAAGTATTGAATACTTGAAAACTAGAAGGAACCTGCTTCTACTTGATTCCCAAGATGGGAGAGCAAATGGAATTGTTTAAATCTAGAAACATTTGGCCCCCAAAGACAATGAAATGCTTTAAAAATCAAAAGAACATTGTTGTGTTGAAACACTCAAAAATTCCTTTTATGTTTCATCTGCTATAATGTATTATCTTTGGAGGCAATATGATGCTTCCCTTCTAAAAATGTCACACCTTTGACAATAATAATTTAGGAATTTCAGACAATTCAATGAATTTCTCTTAGAACATCCTTTTAAAAAATTATCAAGTATAAATCTTTTACTCTCAATTTGTGTCACAACAATTGATAACCAGAATATCTGGCTGACTTGTAATTGCCTACATCCTACCAACATGGCTCTTGATTCTAGAATGCAGGGGGGAAGCAACTACCTTTATAAAAATCAGAGATACATATTGAAAGTCAGCTACTTATATAGCATTATTTTCTTATATGTGAAAAACCTTAATACCTAACCTGGGTAGAATGGTGTCCTCTCTGTTCCCTTTTATCCATGTAGTCACAATATGCTATACAATTGTACCTCATTTTCCATGAGCTCCTTTCCTCATTTGCAGATTCTTACACAGAAAGTATGCCAAGTGATTATCATGGCACCCTCTAGTTAGAATTCAGAAAGAGATTAAGTACAACTTAACATGTTTCTGCAGTTGAACTATGAGAGGGTTTACTTCACAAATCATCCACTAGTGCAATCTAAATCTCAAAACTATAAAATGGAAAAAAGTCAAATCCTTATGCTGTCAGTTATAAGACTGAGCTCCAGTAAACCTGTATAAGTAGGTCAACCAGTTGTACCTCAACATCCCAGCTCTGTAGGTTTCCCTGATGCTTTCTCTTGCTTTCTTTATTCAAAGGCAGCAAAATTACTGATAATAAGTACAAACATTAGCTTCCACCCTATTATGATACACAGTTGGCAGAAATCAAAGATGAAAGAAAAGTACTGTTTATTTTATCAAGTGCCTACAATGTGACCAGCAGTTTAGACATCATTTCACTCATTTATTCATTTGTTTCTTCACAATGACCTCTAAATATCAGACAACCCAAAATAAACACAGCAGACAACGTTCCTACTTTCAGGTAGATTACAATCAAGTTTAAGAAAAAGACATTTAAAAATAATCACACATCTTCTGTGGCTGGTTAGAGCATAATAAATCACAACAAGTAAATACTCCTACTATAATAATTAATTAAATACAGATACATCACAAAAATCATATTTTAAATGCCTGGGAGAAATACCTAAGGTCAATAACAATTAGGACTAGATGAACTACAATTTCAGAGATTATACAACCACTCCAAACTCTGTGCTACAACAAAGACATAAGGAAATCCTTCAGCATGGATGGACCTAGAGGTTATTACGCTAAATGAAATTACACAAGTAATTCAACAGAGGAAGGACAGTCTTTTTTAAAAATGGTGCTGGAGGAATCAGACATTTATAGGCAACAAAAATGAAGTTCAAATTAAACCTCATACCTTATACAAAAATTAACTCAAAATGGAGTACAGGTATAAATCTAAAACTTAATACAATAAAATTGTTTTAATGGGAAAAAGCTTCAGGATTGATATTAGTGTAAAAGTTCTAAATGTGACACTAAATGTGTGATCCATTTAAAAATGTTAAATTGGACTATATCAAAATTACAAAATTTACCTCTGTAAAAGACCCACTTTATAAGATGAAAAGACAAGCTACAGTCTTGGAGACAATATTTACAAACCATATATCTGACAAAGGACTCATTTCTGTAATACGCAAAGAACTCTAAAAATCCAGTGGGGAAAATGCAGACAACTGTACTTGAACAACAATAAAATAAAAATTAAAAAGTTATTTACAAATTTTAGAGACTGAAAAAAAGAACTCCAAAAAAAGTCAGTATAATTGGAAAGTAGACAAAAGACCTACACAGACATTTCACTGAATAGGATATGCAGATGGTTAATAAGTAAATTATAAGGTGTTCAGCATCATTAGCCATAGGGAAATACAAATTAAAACACAATGAATTATTGCTATACACTTATCAAAATGTCTAAAATACAAAATAGTTACAATAACAAAAGCTTTCAATGGATTAGAAACTGAATCCCTCATACATTGCTGAGTAATGTAAAGTGGCACACCAATTGCAGAAAATAGTTTGGTAGTTTATTTAAAAACTAAACATTTAGCCCTGGCTGGTGTGGCTCAGTGGAGTGGGTGTGGGCTGCGAACCAAAGGGTCGCCAGTTTGATTCCCAGCCAGAGCGCATGCCTGGGTTGCAGGCCAGGTCTCCAGTAGGCGACACGAGAGACAACTGCACATTGATGTTTCTCTCCCTCTCTTTCTCCCTCCCTTCCCCTCTCTAACAATAAATAAATAAAATCTTTAAAAAATAAAACCTAAACATTTAACTACCATATGATCCAGCAATTGCATTCCCAAGCATTTATCCCGGAGAAATTTAAATTCCATCCATAGCCTAGTTGGGTGGCTCAGTTGGTTGTAGCATCATCCCATACACCAAAAGGTTGACAGGTTTTTCTATTGTAAGTAATGTGCTCTGAACATTCATGTACAGGTTTCTATGTGGATGTAACTATTTTTTAAATCCTCGCCTGAGGATATGTTTTATTTATTTACTTGGTTGTTATTTATTTTTACTTATTTGTTTTCTAATCCTCACCCAAGGATACCTTTTTAAATTTTTTTATTGCTAATTTATTTTAATTTTCTTTGTTATTTAGTTATTTTAAATTTATTTTTAAAATTTTTAATCTTCACCCTAGGATATCTTTACTGATTTTAGAGAAAAAAAGAGAAACCTTGCTGTGAGAGAGAAACATGGATCACTTGCCTCCTGTATGTGCCCTGACTGGGGATCTAATTCCTGTGCCCTGCTCAGGAATTGAACCCATGAACTTTTGGTATATGGGATGATGCTCCAAACAACTTAGCCACCTGGCCAGAACACCAAATTACTTCTTAAAAATGAAGGTGGCCCTGGCTGGTGTGGCTCAGTGGATTGAGTGTTGGTGTATGAACTGATGGGTGGCTGGTTCAATTTCCAGTTAAGGCACATGCCTGGGTTGCAGGTCAGGTCCCAGTTAGGGGTACACAAGAGGCAAGCAGTCAATGTTTCTTTCACAGACCGTTCTCTCATATATTGATGTTTCTCTCCCTCTTTTTCTCCCTCCCTCCCTTCTCTCTAAAAATAAACAAACAAAATCTTTTAAAAATGAAAGTAACATGGAGACATTTTCAAATAAACAAAAGCTGAGACAATTCATCATCATAAGATCTACATTATCAAAAATATTAAAGAATATTCTTCAGAGTGATAAAAATTATAATATATTAAAACTTTGATCTACACAAATGAAGAATATCATAATGGCAAATACATGACTATAAACTATTTTTTCTCATTTTTAAACTTCTTTGAAAAATCATTGATTGCTTAAAGTAGAAGTAATGATATAATATAGGTTTTATAACATGGAGAAATAAAATGTATCACGACAGCACAAAGAACGGTAGGTAAATGTTGGTATAATGTTATGATTTTTTTATATTACATGTGAAGTAGCATAATATATTAATTACTATATGGCAGTCATTTATTTTATATACATAATATATATATGCATATTTGTATACATACACATACATTCACACATAAATACATGTGTTCTGAGACATAGTCCATAGGATTCACCATTTAAGTACATGGCACAACAAGTTTATAAACTCCTAATTGTGAGAAGGAACACAAAAGATCCACCAGGTGACTCAAGATATGTAAGTATTGAGGGTGTTTTAAGGATGGTGACAGAATGCCTTTGTATGTTCCATCGCTTTATAAGACAGGGGTGTTCCTTGACAAGCATAAGATGGACTTCTCTGATGAATTTTGCTGCCAGAGCAACTGTAGCCATTATATCTCCCCTTATTTTAATGATGTGTCATGATGTGTCGCTTTCTGCTTCAGCCTCAACTCAGCCACAAGGACAAAAGTCCATGGAATGTGAGTGAAGTTTAATGGCAGCTACTACCTACTCTCTTCACTTAACCCAAGAAGCCATTGCAAATAGCCCAAAGACCCACTGTGGGAGATGGACATTATTTCCCAGAAGTAAATACAGCTCAGCTTGTACTTTGGAACAATTGGTGAACCTTGCCACTTGCACAATCTTCTAGCAAAGGTTATCCAGTACCTGAACATGATCATGGCAGAATCACCAGGCCTCCTCACCATCTGCCTTTTAGGATATCTACTCATTGCTGAATGTGCAGGTTTGTTTCCTTTTAAAAGATACATTGAATATGCTTGTCTTTTAGGTATATAATATCTGGTACTGCCTTCTTCACTAAATAATGGATACAGGATTTGACAGCAATATTTAAGATTCTGGTAGTCAGTATGTGTGATGGCAAATACTGGTTCTCTGGTAGCTGTGTCTCCTTAGTATTTAAAACTAAATAGATTTACAATGCTTGTGGTACATTTTTAATGGACACTGTTGGACTTAGGATTTGACCATGTAATTCCTCTTAGAAAACAGTTATCTCCTTAGTTAAAAAAAATCTTAAAAGTTGGAAAATGCTTTAACAAGGAAATAGCAGAATATAGAGAAAAAAATAACTGTCATTTTGGTTATTTGTACTCATCACTTTGAAATCAAAAAGGGAAACATTAAAGCCACAAAGATGCTTTCTTTCATCTGCACAAAAATTTTTATTTTAAGATCTGTTATGTGTTTCAAAATTTTATAACTATATAATAAGACATGCCTTTAATTTTTTAATGTATATACCTTCAACTTAAAGCTTGAGTTAAAACAAATTTTTTCATTAGTAAGTTGTTATTTATCACCAACATTTTTCATGGATTAGGAAGAAATTATTTTATCTCTGACTCTAAACATCTCAGAGTTAATACATGAGGGAACTCAATACTTGCACTCTTAGGAGAGCAAAGCCAGTCAGAGAATTGACATAAAGGGTAGAAATTGGTTAATGCAATGTGTACCACTTGTTTTTTTCACAGCCTCAGTGACTTTATGCACTGTCCCCAAAGGAAAGCACACAGGAAAGAAATTACCTCATTTAGACAAACAGCATGTTCTCACAGGAAGCATTTATCACACTTAATTGTCAGCCTACTATAATCAAATCTAGTCACTGACAGTGCCAGGATCAGGGGTGCCAACCCTAAGGGTCCCCAGAAAGCAGACTGGCCCTGTGGTTCCCACTCCAGACATGATGTCAGACTGAAATGAAGAAATAATGGTACAAGAATGCAAAGGTTAAATCAAACTAGCCAAGTGGGTAGAGTCCAGGAATAAAGAAATTTAGCTGGAAAACTCACAAAGCAGGACACAAAGCTAGGCCTTTCTCCTCAGTGTGAGATCAGCAGGACAAAAGACCTAAGACCTTCCTTCAGGATAAGTGGTGAGATGATGGAGATGTTAAGAGGGCTGCTGACCCCTTGAAGAACTCAGATGTTGGGGGGAAAGGACAAATAGGAAGAAAAAAAAGAGGAACTGGGATTTCAGAGCTTGGGAAATAATGACTAAAATAGATAAACCTGAAAAAATTAAGATACTTGATCCTCAATCAATATGAGGAGAAAAGTAATGTGATTCTGGAGTGACTGGAGTCAAAGAAAAAAGGCCCTTGAGGAGAAATGAAGGGGACTTTCCCTAAGGAAGAGCAGTATTGAGGCAGCACTCTCTGCTGCTGTTAAATTGGCATTGACTTCTAAAAGCAGTTTTGATGAATGATCTACCGAGTTGTTGCATTTTCATGGCTGCTGCCCTTAGGTTTTACTGCATCAATTTGGATTTTGAAATCAAAACTTCTGTGAAACCAACTGAAGTTTCTAAACTACATGGACCAAAACTGTCTTTCATTCAGAATGAATGAATGAAATGAATGAGAGAGAGAGCATCGATCCATACACTTTAGAAAACTTTACAAAACCAAGTGACTACTACTATGGTGCCAGGTACAGTGGCAAGGTACTAGGGACATGGGGACAAACCAGACTTCCTTCTTTGGCCTAAGGCACCATAAAGTCAGGAAATATAATTTAATATAATGTGCTAAAATGTGTACCAGGTGCTAAAGGACCATAGAAAATGAAATACATTAACTGGGGAAACACTTGACAGAGAGATAATATTTTGAGCTGGGCCTTAAAAATGAGTAGATTCATCCTTGAATGTCTGATCTAGGGCATTCTAAGCACAGAAGATCACTCATGTGCAAACATCCAGATCCACAGAGAATGTCAAGGCTTTCAATAACTCATTATGTTTTGAGTGTTGAATAGGACAAATGAGGCAGGATACCAAGGCAGGGTCAGGTCATCAGATAATAAAAGCCCTAAACTAAAGAGTTTTTACAATAAAAAGCAATGTGGTCCTGCCTGGTGTGGCTCAGTGGATTGAATGCCAGCCTGTGAAGCAAAGGGTCACTGGTTCGATTCCCAGTCAGGGCACATGCCTGGGTTGTGGGCCAGGTCCCCAGTAGGGGGCATCTGACAGGCAACCACACATTGATGTTTCTCTTCCTCTCTTTCTCCCTCCCTTTCCCTCTCTAAAAAGAGAAAGAAAGAAAGAAAGAAAGAAAGAAAGAAAGAAAGAAAGAAAGAAAGAAAGAAAGAAAGAAAGAAAGAAAGAAAGAAAGAAAGAAGGAAAGAGTCTTTAAAATACTCCCTTTAGAAAGCCATGCGGACTCATCAGAAGTACAAACAAATACCACTGATGGCTGATTTTCGATGCTCAGGCTAGCAACATTATAATCAACTGTCTGAGGAAGGGGTAGCAAGACTACAGGAGACCAATCTTGAGGCTATTGTAATCATCCAGGGAAGGCAGGAGGGCCGGAACATGGACATTACCTATATAGTCAGAGGAGGAAAAGGAATTCAAGTAACATTAAGGAAGTAGAAATGATATGACTTAACCATCTGGGTATGGGAGGGGAACAGGTTTAGAGAAAGTGTACTGAGTATGTCCTGATCATTTTTATGTGATTACTGGACACAACCTAGGCCTAAAAGCATGAACTGTGCATCTGATTGCCAGAGTCAAAATCCTGGCTCTGACACATTAGTATGTTACTTGGGGCAAATCACTTAACCTCTCAGAATCTCTGTTTTTCTTAGTTCCAAAAATGAGGTAACAGTGCCAATCTCATGAGACCATTGTGAGTATGGAATGAAATGTTAGCAAATCACTGAGTACAGTGTACAGCACATCAGAAGCATTAAATAAACTTCAGTGCTCTGTCATATTACAGTGTACAGTTAGGGATCTGGAATTCAGAAGATGTATCTGACCAGTGATGAATATTTGGAACTCACTGTCAAATAACAGTAGTTACAACCATATGAATGACGATCCAGGAAGTGAATATGGGTATTGTGTCACTTAGTATAGTGCCTGACAGTAGTGAGTGTTCAGAAAATTGTGTTGAAAAAGCTAGGACTGTATTATGGTGAGGCAAGCAAGGCTACTAAGACATCAGCATACTTGTACACACTAAAAGAGAGTGCCTCCTTCAATTTTGTGCCCTAAATGCTTTGTTTACCTCACCACAGTCCTGGCCTTGGCAAGGATGGAAAGCATGAAAAGGCAAATGGCTGAAGCTGGAGCCTGGGAGAACTCTGAACATTTTCAGGGCAGGCAGAGAAGGTGAATTAACTGATTCAAGTGGCAGACGAATAACAATAGTTAGAGTAAAGAGGAGAACCAGAGTAGAGTAATTTCATGGAAAGAGTGTCCTGAAAAGGGAAAGATCAATAATTAGGAATGTTTCAGAGCAATCAGGAAATACATAAACTCAGAATTATCCTTTAGGAGGCCCTAGCTGATCCTGACACCAGTCATTTTATTACATGACAGTAAAGAAGGGAAGGAGCTACAGAAAAGAGCTTTAAAGAGCTAATGGGAATTGAGGAAATTTTGAGACAGTGTAAGTTTCACAGGTTGATGTACTTAAGACCATCTACATGAACACGAAGTAACCTGCACAGCAAATTCAGAGTCCCTTCAGTTTGAGATCCAGTTCTATTTTCCAGGAAAGAAGGAAAGAAGAAAGGGAGGGAGGGAGGGAGATAACCAACATATGAGGGGTCAAACAACCCAAAATTATCTTCTGGAGGGTAAGGCCCTTGTAGTACAGGCTTCCCCCACTAGGTGAGTGTTCTAGGAACCCAATCTGTACCAGTGTACTAGCTGGCATTGTTGTGAGAGGCTGAATTCGGCTTCAGTGAATTTTTTTTGAAGAATCTTTCAAAGTGTTCACCCATTTCATGATGGGTGATTTACAAGTGCACCTGCCCACACTGCTGAGTGTTCAGAAGTTTTTGACCACAAGCAGCATTACCCCTGTGCACCGCCCCCTGCCCCCATTCAACCGATCTCACCCTGAGCAACTCTTTTGTTGTTGTTTCCTGAATGAAAAGAGTCCTCAAAGGGAAACGTTTTGCCAATGTGGAAGAAGTGAAACAAAAAAATGGCAGAAGCACCAATACACATCAAAATCATTGAGTTCAAAAACTGTTTTGAACAGTAGAAAAAACATCTTGATAGGTGTATTGCATCAAATGGAGAGTACTTTGAAGGTGATTGAGGTTTAAATGTAAAAATAAATATACAAGTTTTTATAAATAAATTTCAGGTGTTTTGGGCCCCCCTCATATACCAGCCTACACATATTATTATCTCATGGATCCTTTCAACAACACTTTGAGGTACATATTTGTATTATCCTACTGGTACACCCATTTTACATTGAACCAAGTTAAGCTTCAAAGATTATGTGATCTCACAAAATCTTTGTGAGATTCATATGAGATCTAGTGATCTCACAGCCAACAGATGGTTGATTGAAATCCAGAGGCATCTGATTTGACTCCACAACTCTGTTTCTTCACTAGACCACATTGTAAATGGATACAAACATAGGTGATATTGTAGATGTGCCCAGGACCAAGCCAAAGAATTGCCCAGCAGGGAGGAGGGCCTGGTGGAGGCTGAGAGGCATCAATATGAGGTGGCATCCACCTGTAGCATGGGAATTGTATCCCATGGTGCTCAGGTGCCTCAGAAGAGAAGGAAGGCACAGATGGCTGTACTGATCTAGGGGTTGGGACTGCAGGATATTGCAGCACCGAAAAAAGGGTAAAAAAATGGAGAAAGTTGGCAGGTGAATCCCAAGGATTATTTGCTGAACAAGAGAAAAGCAAGGTTGTCAAGAGACTGGAAGCGTCCCTAAAGTGAAGAGCTGTAATGAAAATAGGAGAATATAGTTTAGTTTCTTTTTTTATGGTTCTTTTGGAGTTAATGAGAAAGGAGTCCCAAAATGCCCTGGAAAGTTCATCTTAGAAGCACCTGGTCCTCTGAGACGGTGTCAGATAGTCTCTTGAAGAAAGAAACAACTCCAGGCAACTTCCTGAGTTCCTGTTATTAATTATAGATATAAATATAAATAATAGATCTGTATCTATTTATATATCTATAGAGGGAGACAGAGAAATGGGAAGAGGGAAATTTAAGAGGGGAATTGGGAGAATTGGTTAGAGATCTCAGTCCTCTAGAGCTCAGGAATTATCTCCACAGGCTAGGCAGTCATACCTAAGATAAACCATATCCTGAATCCCGGGGAAGATTTACATCACTGAAATTCCTACAACACTTGCCAACAGAAGGTGTTATGAGTCTGAAGATAAAAGCAGTGAAGGCAGTGTTTTTTCTTTTAAATCTAGTGAGAGCCCCTGGGTTTGTGTCTGCAGTTGGACCACAATTAGGCTTCTGTTCTTCCAAGAGAAATTTATCAAAGTAATTTGGGCAACTGCATCCTGAAAACAGAGCCCGGTCATCAGGGTTGGAGGGAAGGGGTCGGATCACCTTGCAAGGATCTGCAATTAGCTATTTTCAAATAATGACAAAGTATGAAGTTAAGTGCTTATTTAAGAACTTTCTTTTTCATGCAATGTAAATTCAAATACAATGGAGAATCTGACCTTTTATTAGTGGAGCTCTCTTGACTAAGGGTAAAATTTAATTTTAATTCCTCAGTCTCCATCTCTATATAGTACCATGAGAACATCATAGATTTTTGGCTCAATTTTCCAAAGATAAATTGGCTTTAGGATTACTTAGATTAAAAAAAAAAACCTTCCCTAAGAGTTGTATGTAATTTTCATGATATGTTCATTTTCATAAAGCTAAATAATAGCTCTTTCAAATTTCAGTTTTCCTTGATCATGAAAATGCCAACAAAATTCTGAATCGGCCAAAGAGATACAATTCAGGTAAATTGGAAGAGTTTGTTCAAGGGAATCTGGAGAGAGAATGTATGGAAGAAAAGTGTAGTTTTGAAGAAGCACGAGAAGTTTTTGAAAACACTGAAAAAGCTGTGAGTATTTCCACAAAACATCCTTCAAATACAGAACAAAAAATAGTAAACCTTTTTTTAAAAAAAAGAAAACAACTTCTTGTAATTTTAAAATATCTATACATATATGTGTATTATAAATGGTATAAAAGAGAAGGAATTAAATCCAAAACATTTTAAATGCCACCATTAACCTCTCCTTTTTCTTTATAGACTGAATTTTGGAAGCAATATGTTGGTAAGCAATTCATTTTATCCTCTAGCTTGCATATGAAACATTTGAGAATTATGTATTTTCTTTCTCTGTGTAAACACATAATATATTAAACTCTGTCAAAAGAGCTCAGATAAATAAGTTCCACTCTTTTACCCAAGATTGAAAGGTGATACACTACAGGTTTATGCCAGCATGAAAGACATCAGTTGGCAGATGAGCTTACTCCTCCCTAGGGCTTCAAAAAGAACATTGTTCCACCCCAGGAAGCTGGAAGGAAGAAACAGAAATGACTGCATCTGGGGACTGAATGATGGTTTGCAATCCCCAGTAGAGAATCAGAGAATGTTGATTGACTTAAATGTTTATTATTTAACCATCCTTCTTATGATGGTCTATAAGGCCCTCCACAATTACCCAGCCCTTCCCTTACCATTGCCCCTCCCATCTCATCTCCTACTGCTCCCCACGTTACACAATGGACCCCAGCCATCCTGGCCTCCCTGGTGCTTCTTGCATGCTCTAGGTATGCTTCCACTTTAGAGTCTTGGATCTGGCTGTTCCTTTAATGTGGAATGCTCTTCTGCTAGGTTTCCCTAGACTCACCACCTCACCTCCTTTGGGTCTACACCCAATGTCACCATCTCAATGAAGCTGACCTTGATCATATATTAATATTCCAACCTGCCCCCCCATAACTCCTTCACTCTAGACACTGTGTCCTGGTCTATTATTATTAATACATAGCACTTTTCACCATCTGAGATATCATATAATGGTCTTACTTATACTATCTATTATTAATTTTCCCACCTAAATAGAGGGCTCACTTCATATTGGTAGCATTCAATTGGGGTATTCATTTTTTTTTTTGTTTATTGATGTATTCTTAGTAACTTCAACACTATCTGGTAAAGAAGCACTGAGTAAATATTTGTTAAATGAATTTACCATAATGAGGAAAAGTCAAAACTTTAATGGCAGCTAAGTTTTAAAATCAATTTAAAATCCAGCAGTAGGACTTTGTGGCAGTGTCAATTTCACAGGTTGACTTACCCAGGCAGCAAATTTAATGAGTTCCTTCAATTTGAGATCCAGTTCTATTTTCCAGTTTCTGTTCTGGAGATACTGTTGGGCTTGTTCATACTCTGATAACTCATAATTCCTCCGCTTTTGTTCTTAAATCATGGTGGAAGAAGAGGTTCCTTTCATTACATTTGCTTTATCTGCCTTTCCTTGTTCTTGGTAATAAACACTACCAGGACAATTCTCTACTGAGGTATTCCCATACAGTTATTAGTCTAAGCAAGACTTCTCATTCTCTATTTCAACTATATTTAAAATTTCTCATCTTCTGATATATTTTTAGAGCACACCAATTCCTAACACACACACACCCCCCCCTGCCACCAAATATTCCTGACTGTATTTAAACCCCTATGACCCCTTCATTACCAACCCCATGACCTGATCTCCCACCCCGTAGCAGGGTTAGGTCAGAACCTATTAAGACCTATATTTTTAGGTCAGGCTCTTGCCTTCTGATCACAGGCAGTGGTTACTGTATCTCAGGTAAAGATACCTCAAAAACATTAAGGACATGATTCTGTCACTACTACTTTGTCTATAGAAAAATAAAACACAAACAAGAACAAAAAAGAAAAAATAATAACCCCATGCCTCTTTTCACTTGCAACTAAGATTCCTAATTCCCCCAAATAGACTATGCTAATTCTCACTGTGTGGGTGGCCACATACATCAGGGACGCAGGCCCCACACTCCTGCTCCGTTCTGTACCATCAACTCACCACATAAAGAGCCCAGATTAAGAAGGAATATCATTCAATCACATTAACCAGCACCTGTCAAGTACTTTACAGTTTACAAGAGTGCCTGTCACATTTAATCCTCACACCAACCCTGGGAGAAAAGTATTATTAACCTCATTTCACAGAGAAGGAAACTGAGGCTGGCCAAAGTTCACCCAGCTGGGGAGTCAAGGAGCCCAGAAAACAATCCAAGCTCTCTAATGTCCAATCCCTTGTTTTCACTATTATCCGTATCAGCCTTCAAATTTAAATGCAGTTATTTGCTAAACACCAACTTAGTAGCCTTAAACAGGAACCCATCTCTTGGCAAGGTCTTGTTGCTTGTTGTCTTTGACCCCTACTGTCTGTGGCTTTGCCTCAGCCCAAAGTACACACAGACAAGCACCCAAAGGAGGACTAAATGCAGGATAAAATGACACTCATTTTAAAGATATGTCTCAGCAAAAGAGTTGCTGTGTAGCTGGCTGCAAGCCCAGACTCTTTCAGTGAAACATCCTAAATAATTCAGATCTGTTAGTCTATAATATAAAGTGCAAATGTGGCTCGTTTTTTAGACCAGTTCTGAACATCAATAATAATAAGCCAGAGATAACATATTTTGTTTTCATGGAATTAGAACAAATTGAAGTATTTGTGCAAAAGCACATTGGATCAAGGGGCAGAGAGGACAAGGTCTAATTTTTACAGCAAGCAGACTTTCCAGAGAGGGGCTATTTCTGAGAAAGGGATATTAGTCTTTAATCAATGGGGCCTGGATACATGCTACTGACAGAGAACATGACAGACATTCTGGTGCTCTCCCTAGAGTAGGATCTCCAAGCTAGATGACAGGGAGCTTCACTCTAAAGTGTGACTGATAATCAGGAATTAGTTGCCCCTTTTCTCTCATTCTTTCAATCTTATGTCATCTTTAGCTCCCACTGTTTTGCTTCTCATGTATTGACTTGCTTATCTAGCTCCCATTTTTTCTTCAGGGCTATTTCTCCTAGCTCAAAGTGCATACCAGTCTACCTTATGGTACTATTCATCCCTTTCTCCTGAAGCTGCCTCAGAAGTGTGGATGGAGGCAGAGCTCTAAGAAACCAGACTTAAAGGTTCCCTTCTCATCTTGACCCTACCTTCCCCTCTTGTCTATTTCTTCCTTCTGTTTTCTTGCCACCAGTGTCTTCAAAGGTTTTCAAGAACTCTACAAAGGTAGAAACTTTAGGAAAGGTAGAAAAGAAACATAGTTGATTTGTACATAAAAAAGAACATTTTTCAGAATTTTTTTCTTTTTTATTTCTCTGTATCAAAAGTTGTTTCTCACTTTACTTTGACCAGTTAGGACCTAACTCATAGACAGAATACCTTTAAGAAGTAACATATGCTTCTGTCATCTTTTCTATTGTTTGGAACCATTACTGCACATTATACTTAAAAGTGAAATGACAACACAAGGAAGAAGATGCATTTGCTTCATGCCTAGGTGACCAGTCCTTTGAGCAAAAGTTGTTATCTTACTGAGCTTGTGCTGCAATGTGATAGAACAAGCCTTGTATGGCATATAGTAATAATTGTTGAAGTGATGTGATCTGATTTGGAATTAAATCTGCCACCATTCTATAAGAACTGAAAATTCCTCTTAGCCTATGCTGCTCCAATACATTTTTATACTTAAACATTCTTCTCTGTTTGCATAAACTATGTACATGTCTTCCTCAAGGCAACTTCCTAAGACACTGTTAGCATAAGTACCATTGTCTGGGTTGCTTTTAGAAATGCAGAAAGTCAGGGGCATCCCATAAGCACCTGGCTTCCTGACCCTAAAATTAGGTTCCCCTTCCCATGAGTCAGTGGAGGGAGGATCAGGCATTGTAAACAATTTATCTGCTAATTTAACATCTTAACCTATCTCAAAGATGGAGACCAGTGTGAGTCCAACCCATGTTTAAATGGTGGCATGTGCAAGGATGACATTAATTCCTATGAATGTTGGTGTCAACCTGGATTTGAAGGAAAGAACTGTGAATTAGGTAAGTAACTAGTTTTGGATTACTCATGGTTCAAAGTTTCCCTTTGAAAGCAGATGAAACTGGAAAACACAGTATTTATATATCATAATTTTCCCTTAAAACCATATACATTTTTATTATGGTAGAAAACACAACACGAAATTTTGAAGTGTACATCACAGTATTGTTAACTACGGGCACTATGCTATGCAGAAAATCTCTAGAACTTATTCATCTTACATAACCAAAACTATACCCATTGAAAAGCAGCTCTTCATTTTCCTTTCCTCATTCTGTGCTCTTATGTGTTTGACTATTTTAGCCACTGCCTATAAGTAAAATAATGCAGTGTTTGTCCTTCTGTAACTGGCTTCACTTAGCATAATGTCCTCGAGGTTCACCCATGTTGTTACATATGACAGGATTCCTTCTTTTTAAAACCTGAATAATATGCCATTGCACAAAACATACTTTCAAAGCTTATAAACATTTGTTTTATCTGTAGTCATATTTTCCTGGATAAGTTCAAGAAACTATATGAAGAGCAATAATAATATTTGGTAGATAGTAGGTAACATTGTTCCACTCACTTATTAATCCTCGATAAAGCCATATGCAGTCAGTACCATTATTATTATCCCAATTCCATGATGATGAAAAAACTATAGATCAAAAGTAAATGGTCAAGCCAGGAGGTGGACTTCAGTTTGACAAAAGCCTATACTTCTCACTACTATCCACAAAATGCAAAGAAAACTGAACCTGTTAACCTCATGACTAAATTGCTATCAACATAGGCACCAGAGGTCAAGCAATTATAGAATCAGGGTATGACAAAGTCAGTTCTGTCATATAGTAGGCACTTCTCCACACACACAAGCCACTTTACATGTAAAATTTGTTGACAAAAATCTGAGCTCATACACTGATTACACTGAAACAGTAACATATCAAATTGAGTTTCAGTGTACATCTTTTCCTCTCATAGCCTAAACTATTTTTTTTTCCTGAGATTTTGGCAATTGGAGCTGTAAACCCTCAAAGTCCTTCAGCTACTTGTTTATTGCTTCTGGATGCAAGATTACTGGTATTGTGATTGTGAAAATCACACAGTGCTAATGACAGATTCTCTTTCTACTCTGAAACTCCAGAAGAATAGAGATGCAATCCTGGGGAGCAAATTTAACACCGCAGGCTGTATGACTAAGGGCAAAGAGTAGAAAATTAGCAGGACTCTATTAAGGCATTATAGCAATCCACCCAACCCATAGATGAAAAAGGCATAAAACAAAATGAAACACAGCAGCTGCACTTGTCCTATTGAGAAAGGGAAAGAAGTCACCTGCAATGCTCAGAAATCCTTTCAGTATTAAAGAAAAATCCATTGATCATCCTCCTCTGAGATCAAAAAGATAAAAAAGAATAGAAGATAAGAAAAGGAAAAGGTGTCAGGGACAAAACACTTTAAAACACAGAAAAGAGTGAATGCAGGTGGATGAACTGGTACACCTGGCCTGCATTCCCATTCCCTCAGATTTCCTAGTGAGGGGACAAACCGATGCCTGGGCTCCCTTTCCCATGAGTGGGTTGACTGGTTCAACATCTCTGAGGTGCTACTTTCATATGAAAGTTTATGATTTCTAATTCAGATTTAGCCAGATAAATTTGAGCTTGTTATTATGGAAATCTACAAAATTCTTTGGAATAGTTACTCATTTTCAGCTTAAATAACATAACTATTGGAGCTCAGGGAATGAATAACTCAATTAGTCTCAGTTAAAAATGAAGGACACATTATGGTAAAGTATAACTGAAAATAGTATTTTGCATTAAATATTCCTAAATGTCTTCAGTTTAAAAATAAAGTCACTGTAAAGAAAGAGAATAGGACTCTGGCCAAGATGGAGGCATAGGTAGACACACTGTGCCTCCTCACACAACCAAAGGAAGGACAACAACAATTTAAAAACAAAAAGCAACCAGCACTGACAGAAAATAAAACTGTACGGAAGTCCCGACAACCAAGGAGTTAAAGAAGACACATTCATCCAGACTGGTAGGAGGGGTGGAGACAGGCAGCGGGCAGAGAAGATTCATGGCAAGGCTGCAGCTGGTGGACCCAGTGAAGTGGAGGCTGGTGGAGCTGGTGGTCCCACATTCATGAGCTGATAAACTGGGAGGAACAACTGGGGAGCGAAACAGACCGCACAACTCAGGGTCTCAGCACGGAGAAATAAAACTTCAAACCACTGATTGAAGACACCTGTGGGGGTTGAGGCCACCACAGGAGAAACTCCCAGCCTCACAGGAGAGTTTGTTGGAGAGACCCACAGTTCGTTAGAATGTACACAAGCCTACCCACTGGGAATGAGTACCAGAAGGGCCCACTTTGCTTGTGGGTAGTGGGGGAAGTGACAGAAATCTGGCAGAGAGCAGAGCAAGCACCATTGTTCCCTCTTGGACCCCTTCCCCACAAACAGGGTCACAACACAGTGAAGTGAATTACCCCACCCTGGTGAACACCCAAGGCTCCGCCCCTTACTATATAACAGGTGCACTGAGAAAAATAAATGGCCCAAATGAAAGAACAAATCAAAGCTCCAGAAAAAATACAACTAAGCAATGAAGAGGTAGCCAACCCATCAGATGCACAGTTCAAAACACTGGTAATCAGGATGCTCACAGAATTCAAAAAAATGAGGAGAGGCTTAGGAACCTTCGGGATATTTTTAAATGTTCCAACATCTGAAATATAAGGGTACCAGAAGGAGAAGAGGAAGAGCAACAAATTGAAAAATTATTTGAACAAATAATGAAGAACTTCCCCAATCTGGCAAAGGAAATAGACTTCCAGGAAGTCCAGGAAGTCCAGAGAGTCCTAAAGAAGTTGGACCCAAGGAGGAACACACCAAGGCACATCATAATTACATTACCCACGATGAAAAATAAGGAGAGAATCTTAGAAGCAGCAAGAGAAAAGGAGACAATTGCCTGCAAAGGAGTTCCCATCAGACTGTCAGCTGATTTGTCAAAAGAGGCCTTACAGGCAAGAAGGGGCTGGAAAGAAGTATTCCAAGTCATGAAAGGGAAGGACCTACATCCAAGATTATTCTATCCAGCAAAGCTTTCATTCAGAATGGAAGGGCAGATAAAGTGCTTCTCAGATAAGGTCAAGTTAAAGGATTTCATCATCACCAAGCCCTTATTATATGAAAAGTTAAAGGGACTTATCTAAGAAAAAGAAGATAAAAAATATGAACAGTAAAATGACAGCAAACTCAGTTATTAACAACCACACCTAAAACAAAAACAAAAACAAACTAAGCAATCAACTAGAACAGGAGCAGAACCACATAAGTGGAGATCACATGGAGGGTTATCAACAGGGAAGTGGGAGGGGGAGAGAGGGGGGGAAAGGTACAGAGAATAAGTAGCATAGATGGTACGTAGAAAATAGATGGGGGGGGTAAGAATAGTATGGGAAATGTAGAAGCTAAAGAACTTATATGTATGACCCATGGACATGAGCTAAAGGGGGAAATGTGGGTGGGAGGGGGTGTACAGGGAAGAGGGGAATAAAGGGGGGAAAATGGGACAACTGTAATAGCATAATCAATAAAATATATTTTAAAAAAGAAATAGAATAGCCCTGAGGAATGTAAATAGAAGCACAAAACCCCCTAACAGGTTTTGCTACATGTGTGAGTCTACAGTCTACATAATGAAAGTGCTAAGTCTACAATTGGATCCCTCAGTCTCTTGGGTTCCCCACATTTTGGTTTGGTTGCACTACCTTCACCACCAAGCTTGGCCTCTGGGTTACATTAATCTCCCCAAGGCCATTTATCAAGGCTTAGAAAAATCCTTCTAGCTCAGTTAGTTCAGAAACAAAGGGGGAATTCTCTCAAAAGAGCGCTTTATCTCAGACACTAGAGGACAGCAACAGCAAAAAGATACAAACTTCTGTTTATGCTGTTGTTTTAAACTGAACTAAAGACTAATCTCGAAAGCTCCTACATAGCACAGTTTATGGAGTACCTTGGCCCCAAGTCTCTTGCCACATCCTGGCTTTGAAAGGGAAGGGAGATTTCCATTGTTCAAAACATTTGGTTTTCCTTTTCTCTTGTCCATGAGGCTCCTCTCCGGGGAGAAAGGTACAAACATTCAGGACACGTTTTCTACTTAGAAGAATAACCATTAATTGGCTATTGTGTCCCTTTGGCTAGAATAAAGATCACTGTATATTCCCAACTACACATCACATCTGAGTCCTTTTCAGATAGATCAAGGTCTGTAAGAACTTGGTCATTCTTGTCCTTTCTCCGAGTACAAGAGACATTTCCCTATAGTAAGATAGGATGGAAAGAAAAAAATCACAAGCACATAAACACTTTGTTTTTTTCATTTTGCTAACACATCACAGATATTACTGTCTCATTTGCTATGTATTTCTGTGGAGTAAAGAAAGTAAAATACCTTCAGTTTAGCTGAATAACTGCATGTTTTGTTGTAAACTTGTTAGAACATCTTTTGTCCAAGCTTTGATTTTCACATCAGTCAATATATCAGCATAGAAGGAGGCAGAACAAAATAAAACAGAACAGTAACTTTTGTGGTAGACACAAGGGGAATGAGAAAGAGAAGTTTGGACCAACATGGAGGGAGAAGAACATAAGTTTTAGGCACTGAGACCAGCCTCAGAACCAGGGAGACCCATATCCAACACAGTGCCTAACATTCTCGTGCTCAATAAGTGACTGATGAATGAGTCTGATAATGACTGTTCCTTAGATCTTGGACTTCAAAACTTTCCACTGGATATCCTTGTGCTGTTAAACTATTTCCAGAATTTTGAGTACATTATCTGAGGGCAAAAGACTGCTGATTGGACAGCAATATTTCCCACTGCATGCATAAACCAAGCTGTAGAGCAACAACAACATACTGGACCACAAAGAGCAAGGACAAAGGAGAAAAATCATAGAGAGGTCTAGTTACTCAGTCAAGGGCACAGAATCAGATTTGGGAAAACCACAGAGTTCCCTCATGCCTGTTATACATGCCCAGCACCAAACTAGACTGGACCTACCACCTACCTCTGTTAACTTATCACACTCTCATATTGACTGAACACTTTCCACAGGTGGTATTTGATTTGGCTGAACACTTTAGTACTGCTTTGTAACAACAAAATGATAGCTAGCCTCATGAAAGAGCCAGGAATGGAGTCACTATGACTGAGGAGAAAGGTCTTTAAAAATAAATAAAAAGGACCAAGTGACATCTTTTTGGATCATGCACTTAATGGATTTTTGGTAGCAAAGGTTTAATGCTCAGGCTGGTTTCTCTCTGTCTATCTGGCAGCCATTGATTGGTGATTATTTCCTGAAGTGTCAGTAAGGAATATGAGCTAATTATTATCACAGCCTATGCTAGCCTGTATAAAATATAATTCAAAAATTTTAGGCCTGAAAACTCAACACTTCATAATAGCTGTGGCTAGTGTGGCTCAGTAGATTGAGCACCAGCCTAAGAACCAAAGGGTCACCAGTTTGATTCCCAGTCAGGGCACATGCCTGGATTGTGAGCCAGGTCCTCAGTGGGGGGCACGCAAGAGGCAGCCACACATTGATGTTTCTCTCACTTTCTCCCTCCCTTTCCCTCTCTCTAAAAGTAAAAAATAAAATAAAATCTTTTTTTAAAAATTCCACAATATATTCCAAAACCATACAGTCACTCTGTTAGTCTGGATTCCACCAGAAAAAAAAGGAGTCTGTGATACAAGCTTATTCATTACCGTGTGCAATCCTAGGGAACAAGAGTAAAGGACAGGGGAGTGAGGCAATGAGGAAAGGAGACCTATAAGATGAGTCTTCTCTTCATCCTCAAATGATTGCTCAATCTCCTGGGACTGTTTTTCAAGAATCCATATGAATTGGCCTCAGGATAGTCCATCTGGGAGGGGGAAAGAAGTGAAAAAATTTGTCCATCAGCATCTGTCTCCCATTGGTCAAAAGTTCAGCCCATGGGTTGAACACATCTCCAGCTTATACATGCTGGGACACTCAGAAAGGTCATGTGGCATCCCATGGCTCAGCATCAACAGGGAAGTGCCAAGGTAGGAGATGAGAGGCACGTAGTGCAGATATGAGCCAAGGCCATTCAAGGACACACCTATGAGGTCAGTGGAAGTCTGTGCAGAACTGATCACCACAGTGTTGGGAGAAGACACAGGAAAAGCTGAGAGGAATTAAGGTGGTGTATAGGAGGTTTCTAATAGTCACTCATTTTCAGTTTTTCCATGTTCTAACTGCAGTGACAAGTGAGCATTTCTATTGAAAGTTGTACTGCTGTTGAGCATGTAGGTAAGGCAGAAGGTGTTTTCTATTCACTGTGTTCCTCTGCTACTCTAGAGACAGAAATAGGTCCAAGGGCAGAGCCTGTTTCTCTTAACTCAGTCATCTCAGCTAGCAAGCCCTGAACCATACTACTTCCTGATATTGAGATGGCATGGGAGAAACAAAGGGAAAGCACAGTAATTAGAAAATATGAAATAAAATGGTAGAAATAAGCCAAGTATATCAGGAATCACAATTAATTTAAAATGGTCTTTATGACAGTTTTCAGTATGGTGTTAAAAATCAAATTGTATCTTGTGGACAAAAGAGATACCTGAAATGAAAATATAGCAGTAGGCTAAATTAAAGGGATGTAAAAAGATTTTTTAGGTAAATACTAACAAAAAGTAATGGGTGAAACAAACTTACTATCAGACAAAACACAATCCAAGACAAAAAGCATTACAAGAGAGAAAGAAAGATATTTTATATTAATAAGGGCTATTGTGTAGGAGAGTAAAGAAAATGTGAGCCACTGAAATGCTTATCAGTATCAAAACATGTCTTCAGCATTTAGCTACCTTAAAGGACTCTTTCATTCTCTTGTGTTGTTACATAACCCCCTCAGCCAGCTTCAAGTTTCCTTTGATAAATTGGGTTATACTAAAACTATGAACTTCTGTTCAGCAAAATACACTATGTAGTGTGAAAAGGCCAGTCACAGATTGGGAGACGGAATATGCATCACATATACCCAATAACTGGAACTCTCAAACACTGCTGGTGAGAATTTAAATGTGTATGATTATTTTAGAACACTACTTGGCAGTATCTACTAAGCCTGAACATATGATCCAATAATTGCACTTACAAGTATACATCCAGGAAATATGCATGCATATATTACCGAAAGACACATACAAGAAAAAAATAAGATTTTATTTATTTACTTTTAGAGAGAGGGCAAAGGAGAGAGAAACAGAGATAGACAAACATCAATGTGTGAGAGATACATCTATCGGTTGCCTCTCACGTGCCTGCAACTGGGGACCTGGCCCACAACCCAGGCATGTGCCCTGACTGGGAATCAAACCAGTGACCCCTTGTTTTGCAAGCCAGTACTCAATCCACTGAGCCACACCAGCCAGGGCTTAATAAACATTTTTAATTGTAGTACATTATTTCTTGAAAGTAGAATATCCAAACCTTCAGTTTTATGCCAAATCAAACATATTGCTGCCACCATTTTATACCTTATGAAGAATATTTTTAAGAATTTTATTTTATGTTTTTACTTTTAGCTCAAGGCTCCCCCAACCCAGCTTTTCTCCAAGAATGTTACCAGCTTATACTTGACCTATACCTGAGTCAGTAGTTTCATGTACCTTTTTGAAATGCATGTTAAATAATGTTATTGCTGTTGATTTTGCTTTCTTTCAGACGCAACATGCAGGATTAAGAATGGCAGGTGCAAGCAGTTTTGTAAAAAGGGCACTGGTAACAAGGTGCTTTGTTCCTGTACAGCAGGATATCGACTTGCAGAAGACCAACAGTCCTGTGAACCAGCAGGTCAAAATCTAAATAAGTTTTTTTAAAGCTTGGCAGATATACTCTCCAAATCTGTACTTGAACTGTTAGCATTTTAACTAGCCTACATAATTATAATCCCTACTTGTTTCTACTTCCTTTTGAAAACATAGAAAAGAATAGTCACTTGAATTGGAAAAAATTAATTTTTCCAACTGCATCATCATTTTAAAATAGAAATTCTGTAAATGTCTTTAGTCTGAATTTTTCCATGTGTCCAATTTTTTTTTTTACTTTTATGTCATGGAGCAATTGATTCATGTGATTTCTGTATATATATATATATATATATATATATATATATATATATATATATATATATATTTGTAATTCATCCAGTCAAATTAATGTAATAATCCTATGCCATGGAAGATACATAAATGATTGATTGATAGGCTTCTAATATAAGGATGGTGAATTTTAAGCATAATTCTGCTAAGGTGTGGCTGATTTCCTCTGAGAGAGTTATTTCCTATCCATTGGTCTCAGGCTGAGTTTATACCCTTGGCATCATAATAGTTCCAACAACCATTTGCTTTAAGCTGTGCCAGGGTGCTCAGCACAGTCCATCTATTCAGCGGTGGACAAAGCAGTGTTTCCCACTCATATCAACCATGCCGCCATGTTGACAGCTGCCTGTTGTATTCAGAACATCACTACTCCACATTCACATTGCTCTTGTCTGAAAATGAAAGCAATAGAAACTTTGATTTAAAAAAAGTAGGCTCTGCAGGATCAATTTCATTTGATAAATGAGGGGCCTTTTTGAAGCAATATACAATTTCTTTTGCATTTCCAAAGCCTGATATCTTATTAAATTGGTACATTAAATCATGCATCATTCCTCTGTAACTGGGTTCCATACCTATCTCAGCAATGCACTTAGCAGAGGAAATTAAAGAAAGGACCAGAAGCCAAGAGTATTCATGCTGTAACTAAAATAAACAGTATTTAATGCATCAAGGCACCACCTGCCTATCCTACCTGGTTCTTCACATACACTGCTTCAAAGCCAGCCTACCTTGGAAGGAGAACATATGTATGTTCCAGTGTACACAGATGGCATAGTAGCTAAACCCTTATAAACCCTTCTATGGTATGAGAGAAAAGAATTGAGAACCACCTCCAAATATTATTATATCTGAATATAGCCTTAGCTTTAGCAGAATAAGTAGGCCAAACCTAAAATAAGCTTTTCTGCCTTTCAATAGTAATGGTCCCTTTTCTCTAACAAAATACATAAGTATTTTGAACTAATTTCCTGTTTTCCCAACCACATGCTGCCTTCATGATACTTTGCTGCAGTTGGTTGCTATAGAAATGTCTGTTATAAGGAATGTGGCTGAAAGGAAAGTGAGAAATAAAAATGAAATGTAAGGTGACTTTACTTGACTACAAATTTCCATTCTGGTTGTCCCCAATGCATCAGAAGACAATTTCTTTTCTTTTTATTTATTTTTTTATCCTCACCCAAAGACTTTTTGGCTCATTGCTTTTAAAGAAAGGGAGGGAGGGAGGGAGAGAGAGAGAGAGAGAGAGAGAGAGAGAGAGAGAGAGAGAGAGAGAGAGAGAGAGGGAGAGAGAGAGAACAAGAGGACACATTGATTGGTTGTCTTCTCATAGGTACCACGACCAGGGCACATACCCCACAATCAGGGATCAAACCAGCAACCTAAATATGTGCCCTGACCAGGAACTGTACCTGTGAAATTTTGGTACACAGGACAATGCACCAACCAACTGAGCCACACTGGCCAGGTGACAATTTCTCTTCTTTAGGAAATAAACCAACCCAAGGTAATAAAGTGGCCAGTTTTCATTCCCAGGTGGATATGACTGTAATAATCATATTAATAATTTATTTGGTTAATGCTTGACAGCCAGGTAATTAAATCACAATTATCTCTCCCCTAAGAGATACCTAAAATTCACCTTGGAATCTAGAAGGCATTGTAGTCCACAAAAGAAATCCTGTTAACAGTAAGCAGCGGGCATCCCATTTACCTAATTCTGAAGTTAAAGTTACATGGCACCAATCATCAGATTTCCATTGAAGGAGAGTACTTGGGAATGACTCTTTAGTAAAACAAACAAACAAACTAACAAACAAACAAACAAACAAAAAACCTGCCCTGACTGCTGGTGAGGCTCAGTGGGTTGTGGGTTGGGCATCATCCTACAGACCAAAAGGTCACTGGTTCTATTCCCAGTCAGGGTTGTGGGCCAGGTCCCCAGTTGGGGGTGTGTGAGAGGCCAACTGATCAAAATTTCCCTCACACATCAATGTTTCTGTCCTCTTTCTCCCTCTCTTCCCCTCTGTCCAGATAAATAAATAAATAAAATCTTTAAAATACTAAACAGAAAGTCATTAGACTTTATAAAAGTCTTACAAAATTTGATTCTGGAACTCTTATCCTATTTCTGTAAAGATGATGAATTCCTGAGTCAAATGTTTTTTTTCATGAAGGGTTTGAAAATTTTCCATGAAAATAATGCAATTAACCTTTTAGTTTGAGACTATATTCATTGATTAAATTTTTAAAAATATTGATGGGCCTACTTTTCAGAAGTGACAAGGATGGGCCTCAGTTTTGATCTTTCGTAATACATGTTCTGCTTGCCAATGAGAAATATTCAAATACTAATTGTTTTTTCTGTTTTTCTAGTGCCATTCCCATGTGGGAGAGTTTCTGTAGCACTCCCTTCTGACGAGTTCACCCGTGCTGAGACTATTTATCCCAATAGGGACTATGGAAATTCTACTGAAGATGAAAATATTGAGGATAACGTCACTCAAAGCACCCAACCATTTAACAACTTCACTCGAATTGTTGGTGGAAAAGATGTCAAACCAGGTCAATTCCCTTGGCAGGTAGGTACTCTATATAGATGTGTCATAACTGGAGTTCAGAGGGCAAGGGGCAGGCCAGGTGGAGTCTGAGGCTAAGACACTGGGTAGACTGTCCTGTCTGCTGTGGGTCAGTGAATTGAGTGCCGGCCTACAAACCAAAGGGTCGCTGATTCAATTCCCAGTTAGGGCACGGGCCTGGGATTTGGGCCAGGTCCCTGGTGGGGGGCACGCCAGAGGAAACCACACATTAATGTTTTTCTCCCTCTTTCTCCTTCCCTTCCCCTCTCTCTGAAAATAAATAAATAAAATCTTTTTTTAAAAAGACACTAGGTAGTCCTATCAGGGTGAGGGAAGTGTTTAGGCAAGTTTCGGCACTAAGCAATATGAGGAAGCCCCCAAGTGGGGGTGCAGCTGGTGAAAGAGAAGCCCAGAGACAGCTACTATAAAAGGTCATGGAGAATTTGGCATCAAGGAAATAATAGCATAGCAGGATCCCAGACAAGCAATAGGGAGGGATGGAAGTGAGGTCACAGGTACTGGGGTTCAGGATGCTACTTTTAGCTTCTGCCCCTGTGAGAACTGGTAAGAGTCAGAAAATCTCTAGGTCCCGAAAAACTGTATTATTTCAAAGGGATTTTATAAAGGACTCAAGTAGGAAGAATTAAGACAAGAACTGGGCAATTGGAACCAGGTTATGAGAAATCAGCTTGATCTAAGGCTGTGGTTCTCAAAGTGTGGTAGCATTGGAATCTCCTGGGAACTTGTTAGAAATGCAAATTTCCATCCTACACCCTAGGCATACAAAATCAGAGTCTCTAGGGAGTGGGTGGGGCCCAGTAATCTGTGTGCTATAAGTACTTTGGGTAATTCTAATGCACACTACAATTTAAAAGCCACTGGTCCAAAGGCAATAAACTTGTTACAGAAATTAAGGTCCAAAACCCCAAACAGTGGACTCATGATACCTAATTGCATGTTGCTCCAGGTGTGATCTACAGGCAACACGTGTGAGAATCAACTGTGCACAGTTTTGAGGCAACATCCAAGAGCTAGACTTGTAGCAAAGCCTGGGTTGTAACTAGCTATAGCTAAAGCCTAAGTGATTCCATCAGAGAGAAAAAGTAGGCCCCAGAGGCAAGGAGTCAAGGCAGTCCTTATATAAAGTTGTACTGTCAAATAAGATAATTACTAGCCACATGTAGGTATTTAAATTCAACTACTGTTAAATCAAATTCAGAGTGGATTTTCTCAGTCCATTTCAAGTGCAGAAGAGACATAGGTAGCTAGTGGCTATACCATATTGGAAAGCGCAGGTACAAAACATTTCCATCATCATTCTATTGGACAGCACTTATAATAACTGAGTCTAAGATAAAAAACTCCTAGTGGCCACAATCATGTAATTTTGTAGTAATTTCAATAATGTTTCACTAAACCTCTACCGAGGTTTAAACATTTGCCCATAAAAAACCAATAGCATTAAAGAATTTTGAATCATCAGAGAGGTTAACAGTTTAAGCCAGGATCAGGTAAATGTCCCCGGGTTTAACACTAATGAAATTTTCTGAGACCAGCTATGTCTCTATCCAGGATTCTTTAGATTGCCTGTTATTTTCTAATACAATGGGTAAGATAATGAACCTATCCCTGGAAGGCAGAGATTTCGCACAGACATGGTGGAGAATGTTACTGAAGGGTTGTAGACCATCGCCACCAGAACTTCATATTTTCCTTTCTTTTACCTTTGTTTTTAATAACATTTGTTGGGCTTCATCTTATAAACAGTAAAATATACATATGTTCCTTTACATACCTTCCGTCCCCTACTTAAGCATCCTACCAATGCTTAATCCACCTTCATGCACCATGGCCCATTCCTTCACTCACCCACATCTTTACTTTCATTCATGACTATTCATAAGACTGACCCTTGACTTTGTTCCTCAATGTCTCCTTGAACAATCCCTTTTGGGTCAGCCACTATAATTATGCTTCATTCTATTTAACATCCATGTATCTAATTCCCTCTAATTTTACTACGTGTGATCTTGTGTATTTTCATTCATTCTGTATCCAACTTCCATGGGTAAGGTGCTTAGAACAAAAAAAAATTCTACTTTATAATTATTATCTTTCTTGGGCTTGTGGGACATAAAGCAGTACCTGAAATGGAGGATTCAGTCATTCAGGGGTGTTTCATCAGCTAAGAAGATGACTCTCCATTTAAAAAAACGGGATTTTTTAAAAATCCCAGGATGCATGCATTGCAGGCTTAGCATCATTCCCTTGTCAACCCAGAAATGAAATGCAAATACATTTAAAGGAGAGCTAAAAAGATGGGGTTTTATAAACTCTCAATTGAGTTACATAATCTATTCCCCATGCGTCCCCTTTGAGCCAGTTGCTTGCCAATTTTTTTTACAATGCCAGTCTTTCCTAATAGAAATTTTACTCTAGCAAACTATTTTTTTTCTTTTAAGCAGAAGAAACTGTTAGATGATGGTACAATTGTACTGTGAGGAAGAAGGTATAAATGATACGCATCATTTAAAATCTGTCATGTCCTCCTTACTTAACACTGGTAATTAAGTGTACCTGTTCTCTCTTTCCTATCAAGTCAAGCTAAAATCATTTGTAATGTTCAATATCACTCATCCACATGTGTGCATACATGTGCGCCCACACATTCACTCCCTATTTCACCCACATGAAGTAAGATTACTGACTGGAGAACTGCAAAGTACTAGGTGTTTGTTCTTAACCAAAGATAAAGAACTGTGAGCTACCTTCTAGGATACTTGAAAAACACTAAGTCGTATTTCTTCATTGTTTTTGTCCATCCCCACCCCCACCCAATTTCTTATGTAAGGTTACTTGTTTTAAAAATATGAGATAAACTGAGCATACAAAAGTCACTTTTAGACAAAGAAGAAACAGAAATAAAACAAACTAGAATCACTCATTTGTGGAAGAGCCAGCTCCACCCCATCATGGCTAATCTGCAGGGTGGAAATATTTGATTTGATTGCAGACAAGACTAAAGTGCACCTGCTACAGCCAAGGCATCAAGAGGAAACAAGCAACAGCTGGGGTTTCAAAGGCCAAACTATTCTATGGCAATGAAATAGAAAGGACTGTTTAACAACATCACCTAGAAAAGAGTGATTTAAAATGCTGATGCTTCTGAAACAAGGGGGGTAGGGGGATAAAGCAAACACTTCAATGTAGAGATCCCACAAAGAACAGGGAGATGACTTTCATCTGGAGTAATGAACGGTTTGAATGAAATAGAAAGATTTCGTCTGTTAAAGAAAAGTTTTAAGTGAGCTGTTTTGCAAGAGCTAAAGTGCCACAGGGAGAAGGGGAAGACGACTTTTTCTTTGTGGATTTACATGTGAAAGTTACAGGCAGGTAGGCAGGTTTTGGCCTTGGTTCCAAAAGCCCTTTGCAACCACAGGGTCAGTTATGTGGGCTAGGCAGCTTTGGGAGAAAATGCTGGTTGAAACAATGTTTGTCTGGTTGTTCACTGGGGACAGCAGTGGTGCATAACCCCATGAGGAGAATGTTGAGAGCACTGGTTCACCTAGGGGGAGATTAGAGTAGGCTAGGGGACAGCTTTGACATCCTAAGGAGCTATGTACACCTTCCATGTGGCCCCTCCAGGTCGCATTCATTTCTTACCTTATGCTGTTTAGGACTTTCATCTCCAGGACTGGAGGTAAGGGCTCCACAGCAGCCACTGTGGTTGCCACAGACACTTCAAAGAATAGCTATTGATTCCAGCCTGCATGGCTCTGACCCAACCCCCAACCTCAAAGGTGCAGGCCAGCTAGCCTGACCTCAAACCCTCATCCACTTGACAGAAGGCCTGATAGAAAGTGTGAGGGAGGTACAAGGGTAATTTCCTTCATTTTTCCCTCCAGATGTCCAGTGGTGGGCTCAGAGCCACTTTGAGAACTGGGAGAAAGGGAGCAGGGACTCTGTACAGACACCTCAGGAGGGAAGAGAGTAAGCTACAGGGTTAAGTGCACTATATAGGAACATAAAGGCTATTTCCTCATCTCAGTATAGCCTCAGCCTCCTTATCGCAGTGGGAACTAAAACAAGACTTGATTTTCATACAGCTACGTAGGGAAGCAATGGAAACTCTCGAACATTAGAGAAAAAGGGAAATCGCAACCCCTATACTACAAGACATCTTAAAAATGAAAGATTTGATGAAGCGAGGCAGTGTTGAGACTTTCCAAAACTTTAATTTGGTTTTCGTCCCGTGACCTTGAGCCTGTCAACTGATCATTCTGAGCATGCTCAAAACCCCAAGTACCTTATCCCACACGTTCTGCTTTGGCTTAGATCTGTTTGGCCCTGAATGCCAAGTACCTGGTCTGCTGTTTTCTGTTCTATCAAGAACAGAATACAATGGAAGCCAGGTTGTTAAGCTTTCCTTATCCTTTATATTAAATTGTATCATATGCAATTGCCTGTATTTAAATATTTTAACAGACAAAATGCGTCTATTCTTTAGTTTATTCTCAGCCTAAACAATCTTAAAATGTCTTAGTTTTTTCCCCAGTCTGGGCTTTCCTCAACTTTGGGCTGAAGCTATCCTTAAAGGTATGCAAGTTCTTGACTGTACAGCTACCTGTACAGACCAAATTCTTTCCATTCTATTAGGACACGCCCATGGCAGACAGCATGCAAAGTTACCATATGTATGAACCAGAAATTTTCCTTTTGCGGGGGGTATTGGAAGGAAGATGTTATATCAAGATCCTAAGACTATAGCAATATCTTCACCTGGAAAGGTAACCCTCTATCCTAGCTCAGATGATAAAGTTCCAATTAGGAGAAATAAAAAGATGACAAACATAATCCTACCTGGTCTCACAAAACTATTTTGGACAGAACATTTAGACTATTATTCTCTAGAATAGTTTGATGAAATCTATTTCAATGACCAATCTAGTTAACTAGTCATTAAAAACTGAAAGTGAGCATTGCCTCCATGCCCAGAAAAAAATGAAGTAGGGTTTAGGGCTGGGTGAATCACACCTGTGGCCACAACAAGCTACACACCATTCAGAAATGGTTTTGCTTTTTATATGAGAATGAGTATGCAAATATAGAAAAACATTGTAAAGCTGGAGGTGGCTAGGTGGGCAGAATAAAGATTTGCTGAAATCACAGGGAAAGGCCAGGCTCAAGTTAAAAGTTTAGGAAGTGAACAACAGGGCAACAGCTGTTACACCTAAGTTGGCATTGTCAGTGAAGAACACCAGAGCAGATATGTAAATGTGTATTTTGTATATGCATGTGAGTGTATGTGGTGTGTATCTGTGTCTGAAAGGGAGAAAACAGGCTTGTGTTAGGACATTACAAACATTAATAGGTCAGAACGCAGATGCCATGCCCAGAACATATGCTTTCCCATTTTTCCCATCATTCTCCAAAGGGACGCCTTACAAGAAGTTGGCCTTGGCCAAGCAGACAGTTCATCCCCAAATAGCTAATATTTATATAGCTGTGACCCTGAGGTGATCAAGCAAACATTCCAAAACCAAGTCATTTATAATATCTTTCAATGCAAATATATTTTAGGAATTTTCTTGGCAAAGATGTTTGCTAAAATATCAAATACCAATCAGGGATTGGCAAAAAAAAATGCTCTTCAGGCTTAAAAGAACACAACCCTATTTCTCAGTCATCCCCAGAAAGCTGTTGAAGCTCCAGGCAGCAAGTCTTTGGCAGGAGTCAGACTGGCTACATCATAGTCTCTCTGCCCAAGGGCTATAGATATCACTCAATTTGGCCTAACTAGCACATTGTGCTGAGAGATGTCTAAGTCACCTCTGACACAGAGGAGAAGTGTCCTTACATCACTGCTTGTGCATTCTTAACTCCAGTTACTTGAACAGAGGTATTCAGTTGTAACCATTAGGACCAATATAGAACAGTGTTGCCCAAATTTGCTTGGTGATGAAAATCACTTGGGGTCAAGACCAGCTTCATGAGCTTGTGACCATTGCACAGGGCCCTGCATCAAGAAGAGTCCCCCATTTAATCCTCAATGCTTTGCATTTGTGTTTTATGACTCAAGTCTGATGAGACAATAGGATATACATGGGCTATGGACTTGGAACCTGGAATCACTGCAGTCTCACTTGTCACACCCCAAGGGGATGTATTTTTGGACCTCCTACTCCCCTGTCTCCTGGTGCTTTGTCCAGCCCTGCCTCTGGCTTCTAACACTTGCCCAATGACCACTGCCACCCCCAACCCAGGCACACGGACATATTCCCCTTCCTCATCCCCAATAGCTACCACAGTCATCTTCCTCCTGCACAGTTACAGGGAAGGTTGAGATGGGTGCACACACCCTATGACATCTTTGGAGGGGGAATGGCCACATGACTCCTCAGGACCAAAAGTGTGTCACAGAAGATTTGGAGGGTGAATCGTGGGGAAAGATGCTTGCCCATCTCCATTCCAGATGCTGACCACTTGCAATCCCTTGGGAATCCCCATTCTGGGAATGATTGCTGCAGTGGGTCAGTGGGAAAGCAAGATTGACCTACCCTTACCACTGCTGGGCACAGGGCACCAGTCAGGTGTGAGGAGGGTACATATACTTGCATGCTAACTTGCAGGATGCAGGCCCTGGGCACCTGTCAATATCTGCCTTCCCAGTAATGATCCCCCATTCCTGAGGGAGCAGGACATTAAATAGTAAATTAAAAAATACCCCAATAGGTTGGTAGAGGCCACAGAAGGAAAGCAAAATTTTTGTATTTTAATGTCTTCAATGCTATTTTTCTTGGCTTTTGAACAAGGGTCCCCAATTTTCATCTTGCAGTGAGTCCAGAAATTATGTAGCCCAATCTGTCCAGAGTGAGCACTTTTAAAACATAAAGGTCACCAGCCCTTGAGAATTATGAAACAGAGTTTTTCAAAATTATGTATGTGTAAGGATATCCCAGAGATCTTCATTTTCTGTTGCCCCACGCCCCCCCAAATATTCTGATTAAGTCTTGGTGGGCCTCCAAATCTGCATTTTACAGGCATCCCAGGTGATTCTACCACAATTGGCCCACCAACCACACTTGGAGAAATACTGGGCACTTAGAAACGTAGATTCTGAAGCCAGGCAGACTCAAGTTTGCATCCTAGCTTTGCCACTAACCTTAGGGAATTAATGTGCATATTCTAAAGCTCAGTTAGCTCAGTATAAATGATAATATTAATATCACTCCCCAATGTGTTGTGAGTATTAAATATACATAAAACACTTAGCACAGTGACTAGACCATCATAAGCAACCAATAAATGCTCCCCCAAAATTAAGACTATTAAGTCTAGGTGGTGTGTACACTGGAGTTTATTGTATTATGTGAGTTTTCCAACATTTTTTCAACTTTTCAAAGTAAAAAAGCAAAAACTAGAATGAAAGAGAAAACTAGAGCATGGAAAGGGGAGTCTGAAGCTTGCAATGAGTCAGCCCCATGGGTCATAGGACACTGGTGCTCCTGCATCTAAGACTTAGTGGGTGTTCAATTGAATTCAGGACAAAAAGAATCTTCACTAGAACATGTCCCAAGGACCTTTTCAGACTCACACTAAAAGGAACTGACCATTCCTTTCTCCTAGTGTATGAATGGGCTTATGCCTGGGGCTTTGTGTGCTTTATTTAGTAAAAGAGCATCTATTCACAAGAGCTAGTCAGAGTCCACAAAGGATTTATCAAATGTTAAGTGTGCCCTCTAGTGTTCACTTTCTCTGCTTTCCTCCTAGAGAGGTGGATCAAGGCCTTTGCTTACATTGGAAGTGAAATTCTCCAAGTTGATCTAGTCACTGAGGTGGTGAAAATATTCACTATCTACTCTGATTATGCCATGAATGTGCAGATGAAAGACTAGAGTGGCTTCTTATCCAATAATGCCCAGGCTCAAAGCAGCACCCAAACTACCTTTGTCCACTGTGCCTCAAAATAAGGCACAGCTAAGTACACCTTTTAGGACAAAGACAGCTGACAAATCTAGCCACGGGCAGTCAAATATGGTTAGGGACAATGGAAGGAGTGCATGAGTGGATGGCCATAAACATAGCCCTTATGGAGGCCGTAGGTCTCATTTCAGAATATTCCAGTTTAAGAATGGCTTGAAAAGACCTCCTTTAAAAAAATCAATATTTTTTTCTCTTCAAATAACCTGCAGCAAAAAGATTTCCTCATGCAAGGACAGGAGACTCAAATAATAACTACTGAGCTCAAGGAGTTGACTCAGCACATTTGTGAATGTACAGTTCTGGCCATTAGAGAATGTAACTCACCGGGAAATGGAATCTGAGGGTCCCAGATTTTGAGGAGAAGCTGTTCCCTCATATTTACCTCATCTCGAGCTTCCCCTGGCTCTCACCGAACATTCTCTTCAAGACAGTTACAGAAATGGCTTTTTTGATTATGCTCCAGAAACACTAATTAATCTGCAATGCTGACACTTTCCAGAAACACTCCAGTTCTGCCAGCACCTGCAGGCCAACTTTTTGACCACTTCTATAAACAGCACACATTTATTTTGTTCTGAATCAAATTTGTTATAAGATTTATAATTTTGTTTCCACAGGTCGTTCTGAATGGTAAAATTCAAGCATTATGTGGAGGTTCCATCATTAATGAAAAATGGGTCGTAACTGCAGCCCACTGTATTGAACCTGGTGTTAAAATTACCGTTATTGCAGGTAAATAAACAAAAGGATAATAGTCTGCAACATCACTAGATCTTCTATAAGACTAGTATATCATATTTTACCAAAGTCTAAAAAGATCATTGATAAATAAGTTGGGCTAATGGTAGAAGGGCCATAGTTTCAAAGCCCAACTTGTTTTATCCTCTAAGCTCCCCAGAGTTCTTTTTGTGTACCCATATTAGTACTCACTTCAGTGAAAAACAATTCTATATTGATGTCACTACAAGACTGAGCCTTCCCAAAAGCTGTGTCATATCACAGATCTTTGTATCGCTGGTCCCTTGCACAACCTGTAGTGGGCCCTCAACTAACATTTGAATGAATGACCATAAAAAGGAGCCAAAATACTTGCAATTGGGAAAGTCTGGAATAATTCATGACAAGCAGATTATCACCTGCAAACAACGTTAAGACTTGTAACAGCAAGGGTGAATGAAACCATCTCTATGATGGGTCTTAAATCATGTTTTGGTCTGAAAACTATGCATTGGCCCTCATTACATGTTACCCAAATGATACCAATGTAAGATTAAGATCTTTGACACTTGGCTGCCACTTAATTGAGTGATGCTGAGTGGACACTCTGAAGGCCTGTTTCTTTATGTGAAAGACTATTTGTGACTGAAGATAAATTTATTTTCAGTGGGTGAAATGCTAGTTAAGTAATTGATGCTTGGTGGACACTTGGAAAATGTGTCTCTCTATGGGAAAATGTTTCTCTATGGGAAAGACCGTGACTGACAAAGAAATCTGTTTTCAATAGGTAAACATAACATTGAGATGGAGGAACAAACAGAACAAAAGCGAAATGTGATTCGCACTATTCTTCACCACAGCTACAATGCAACTATTAATAAGTACAGCCACGACATTGCCCTTCTGGAATTGGATAAACCCTTAATGCTAAACAGCTATGTAACACCTATTTGCATTGCTGACAAGAAATACACAAACATCTTTCTCAATTTTGGGTTTGGCACAGTGAGTGGCTGGGGGAGAGTCTTCAACAGAGGGAGATCAGCTTCAGTTCTTCAGTACCTTAAAGTTCCACTTGTTGACCGAGCCACATGCCTTCACTCCACAAAGGTCACTATCTATAATAACATGTTCTGTGCCGGCTTCCATGAGGGAGGGAAAGATTCATGCCAAGGAGACAGTGGGGGGCCCCATGTTACTGAAGTGGAAGGCATCAATTTCTTAACTGGAATTATTAGCTGGGGTGAAGAGTGTGCAGTGAAAGGAAAATATGGAATATATACCAGGGTATCCCTGTATGTCGACTGGATTAAGGAAAAAACAAAACTCACTTAAAGAAAAATGCATGTTTAAGATTAACATATTTGGGGTTCAAAATTAACAAGGTCATTTACTAACTAATCACTTTTCTATCTCATCAAATTTGAATATATACATTCTATGAACATTGCTTTTGCAGTTTATGGGAGAAGTCTATTTAGAACTGATATTTTACTAGAACAAGTAGATTAGAAAATGGAATCACTTGAAAATATAGGGTCCAGCAGAAGTAAGGCCTGCTTGAGTGTGGTTGGTAGGGAAATAATATGGGTGTAAGTAATTTATAGTTTTAATTTGAACATTTCACCTAAAATGTCATATGGTGTGCTTGAGTGTGATATTGTTGTGTTACAGAATTACAAGCTTATGATTTTGTAATAAAAGATTTTGTAATATAAAAGAAGTGTTATTTGTGTTGGACCTGTATGTTGTGGTAAGAATTTTTGGACATAAAAACACTGGGAAGATAACTTCTTTATCCTGCCCATCAAGGTATTATGTTTATCCACTGAAGCAACTTCCTGATTCTCCCTCTTTAGCAGCATGCCATGTTCCAGATCTTTCTTACCTTTCCTACCAAAACACCAACATATATTAGAAGTGTATCCAGGATATTTGGTCTAGTCCATCACAAGTCCAGCACTACACTCATAAAGGAAGAATACAGGAGTAGCTGACAGGTTAAAACTCATAAGAAACACTAATTCTTCTGTACCCTTATTTTTGCATCCTTTAACTTTTCCAACTTCTAATCTCCAAATCAGTTTTTTTCTCTCTCTCCCCTTCCCCTGACCCATAGAGGAGGGAAGGGGAACATCATACTGTTTTACTGGTACACACAATTATACATGTCTGTCAAACCCAGACTTGCCTTCAGTTTAGTCTTGGACTTGCTTATCTGAACATAGGGATTAAGTAAGTCCTAAAGAACTTGGGTGAAAAGCTCCTCTCAGAGAGTCACGTTATTAAAATAAAAATGTAATTGAAGGAATGCCTTATCAGAATAGTTCCCTAAGATCTTGTAATTGTGTTGTTATGGAGGTCTGACCAGAAGTGGCTCTATAAATGCAAGTTGATGTGGTATTGTAACTAAGAAAGCTGAAAAAAACATTAAGATAAAGAGAATAGTCAGGTTATATGAATTCTGCAAGGAAGAATTCATCAGTGTGTCTCCAGTACTGACCAGGGCTAAGGAAGAAGTTGCCCAGAACAGAGAAGATTAGCATCATGTCCCTCTAACTAGTGTATCCCTGTAGTGGAGAAGGGTGCACCAGGTTCACAGACGTGAGTCATTCCAATGAGCCAACTGACTCTCCCTCTTCTGGTTTCATGCCCACCAAGCAACTTTTTATTATAATTAGGCCTTCTGTATTGGATTTTCTAAACAGTTGCTGACCAGCCAACATGTGTACTTCAGTTGATTAGACAGAATATCTCCCTTTATGAATTAATAAACCAGTGCTCTGGTTCATACATCAGCCTTCTGAATTTAGTTGATGTGAACCAGTCACCCTAGCCAGACCTCACTATTGCTGATTTCTTTCCAGTTATTACAGTTAATAGTTTAGTCTTTCAAAATAAATATCAATACCTGGCTGGCGTAGCTCAGTGGATTGAGCGCGGGCTGGGAACCAAAGTGTCGCAGGTTCGATTCCCAGTCAGGGTACATGCCTGGGTTGCAGGCCATAACCCCCAGCAACCACACATTGATGTTTCTCTCCCTCTCTCTCTCTCTCTCTCTCTCTCTCTCTCTCTCTCTCTCTCTCTCTCTCTCTCCCTCCCTTCCCTCTCTAAAAATAAATGAATACATCTTTAAAAAATATATCAATAAATGTATTTCTCAATTCCTCAAAAAGTGTTTCTTGTTGAATCATTCACAGAAAAGAATCCCAAACACTACGTTCAGCCTAACAATCAGAAGAATGTGTCCAAAAGCAATGCAACACATCAGAGTTTTGATGCTCTGTTGTGTCTCAATTTTCACTTGAGTGTGGATCCTCCTGGGACAGAACTAAGTTTAAATAGCTGCGAATATGGTCTTGCATAAGTCACTCTACATTTTGGCCTTTGATTTCTCCATTTGTATAATGAAGGATTTTGACAGGATTCTCTCCAAAAGTCCTTGTTGACCTTGATAGGCTGTGCTTATATTTCTTTATTTAAAAAATATTCTTTGGGAGTAAAAGGGAGAAAACTGTATTTAAACAATGATTAAAATAAAAAAATTTTTAAAAAATATTCAAACAGAGATTACTCTGTGCCACATATCATTGGTGTTCATTAAATTTCTTTTTTTAAAAAATTTTATTTATTCATTTTTAGAGGGAGGGAAAGAAAAGGAGAGAAACATCAATGTGTGGTTGCCTCTTGAGCACCCAGTCCTAGGGACCTGACCTGCAACTCAGGCATGTGCTCTGACTAGGAATCGAACCAATGACCCTTTGGTTCCCAGTCCATGCTCAATCCACTCAGCTACACCATCCATTAAATTTCATTAAATGTGTTCATTAAATTTCAATCCTTATTTATATATTTTGTGAGTTAACTAAAATAATGTATGTAAATTGCTTTGTCAGTGCTAACTGTATTACTACCCACTAGATGCTCAATAAATGTCAGCTGAATCTGAATCCATGTTTATTCCAGAGTAGGAACAAGCATTGTATTGTGTCATGAAAAGAGGCCATACCTAAATAATGAATGAGATTGAGGTTTAATAAAAAAAAAGAAATCAGTCCTGCAATTGTTGGCTAAAGAAGGGAGAGAGAGGGGGGAGACACTGTAATTGTCCATCTTAGGTTTACAGAGGATACTAATTCATGCATGGAAACATGTTACTTCAAATTTTAATGACTAAAGGTCTTTACACCCATTAATTTAGCATTTTAATGACTGGGTCTACAGTGCTCTGCAATTGGTAAAAGCGAGTCACTCTGGCCTTGTTGCCATGGAGACTACCCCTTACAAAGGCAGCAGTGGGGGCATAGATTTACACCTTCTGTGATTGGTCTTCTCTGTCACAGGAGGTCCTAGACCCATAAATGTCTAAGCCACAGTTATCCTTTTTGCCATGAGCTCAGAAATGAGTGAATTGATCATGAGCCACCTGTAGCATGTTGCCATCGTTAAACACATGGGTCCTTCAAGTGCACCTAAGAGCCAAGGTCTTCAGAGCCATGCCCCCCTGGATGCTACCTAAAGCATTTGAAATTGCCATATAAGAATCATTAATGCTTTCAAAATTGCTGTAGCTTCTTATCCTATATGGGCTGAAACATACATGCTGTTGCAATACTGGAAATGACAGATTAAAATAGAACTCTCACTGAGTGAAGAAAAGTATGTTAATATAGTACAGTCATTTTAATTTGTTTAAGTATAATTGTTTTTGGTTCTTTTTGAATATTGGATGCTTCGTGCAGATAGAAACTAAGCATGGTTCAATTTTCTGTGCCAAGGGAAAAATAATGGGTTTTCTCCCTACTCACCTGAACCATGACAGACCAGTTCACAAAACTGCTTCATTATAATTTTGCAACAATTTCTGAATGCAATCTAACAGCATCCAATTTAAGAATGTCAGAGCTGCAAAGGCCTGCAGACAGTATTGTAACCACTCTGCCCATTTAACAGATGAAGAAATTGAGGCCAAGCCCTGGCTGGGGTGGCTCAGTGGATTGAGAGCTGGCCTGCAAACCAAAGGATCACTGGTTCTATTCCCAGTCAGGGCACATGCCTGGGCTGCGGGCCAGGTCCTCAGTGGGAGATGTGTAAGAGGCAACCACACATTGATGTTTCTCTCCCTCTCTCCTGCCCTATCCCTCTCCCTAAAAATAAATAAATAAAATCTGAAAAAACAAAAAAATAAAGAAATTGAAGCCCCTGGTTGGTGTAGCTCAGTGGATTGAGCGCAGGCTGCGAACCAAAGTGTCGCAGGTTCAATTCCCAGTCAAGGTACATGCCTGGGTTGCAGGCCATGACCCCCAGCAACTGCACATTGATGTTTCTCTCTTTCTCTCTTTCTCCTTCCCTTCCCTCTCTAAAACTAAATAAATAAATATTTAAGAAAAAAAGAAATTGAAGCCAAGATAAGGCTAGGCCCAAACTAACAGTGGCAGAGCCAAAACTAGAATAGAAGTCAGGTCTCCCACTCCATACTATGAAAGCATAGTGCTTTTTTGACTGGAGCACTGTCTATATTTTTAGAACAGCTGGGGAATTCTGCATTGGCGGCAATCCTTTCAGCAAACCTGGGATTGAAACTGCCTGGAATTCTTACTAGTAATGCTTGACAAACAAGTGGCTAAATCAAGATGAACAGATAGCCTGAAAAGCAGAGTAGCAGTCAAATAATAAACTGAAAGTACAGTCCCTGACTCATAGTAGGCACTCAGTAAATTTGATGGGGGACCCTAGAGAACCAGAATTTATTTGTTTTTTTTATATTTTATTTATTTATTTTTTAGAGAGGGGAGGGAGGGAGATAGAGAGAGAGAGAAACATCAATGTGCGGTTGCTGGGGGTTATGGCCTGCAACCCAGGAATGTACCCTGGCTGGGAATCGAACCTGGGACACTTTGGTTCCCAGCCCGCGCTCAATCCACTGAGCTACGCCAGCCAGGAGAACCAGAGTTTATTTGTAAAAAATTGTGTATTTATTCGTACGTTTAAACTTCAGTCACCTTCAAAGACTCTCCATTTGATGTAATACACCTGCCAAGACTTTTTTCCATTGCTCAAGAGTTTTCGAACTTGTCGATTTTGATGCCTTTTAGTGCTTCTGCCATATTTTTTTTTGTTTTACCTCTTCCACATCAGAAAAATGTTTCACTTTGAGGAATTTTTTCATCCATGGAAACCAAAAAAAGTCATTTGGGGTGAAATTGGATGAATAGGGAGGGTAGAGCATGGGGGCCATGATGTTTTTAGTCAAAAACTGCTGAACACTCAGTGCAGTATGGGCAGGTGTACTCATAAGTCACCCATCATGAAATGGGCAAACACACCGAAAGTCTTGAAAACAAATTCACTGAAGCCAGTCACAGCCTCTTACAACAATGCCACTGGTACACTCATACAGATGGATTCCTAGAACACTCACCTGTCAGGGGAAGCCTGTACTTCAAGGGGCTTGCTGCCCTCCAGAAGATAATCTGGGGGTTTTGGGGTTCCCCATCATACACATGGAATGGACTTGTGCTGCTGGTGTCTGGTTTTTAACCAGCTGTGAGTACTGGGCCTTCCAGATGTGACATTTGACTTCTAGAGCACGTTCATCAGTGTCACCTGGCACACAGTAATGTAAGCAACATTTCAACTCACTGCATTGCAACT